TTCAGTGAGAATGCGAGCGCTTGAGGGTACAGGGGTTGGAGGTCAGCTGCCAGCTGTGGAGGCTTTCTTCCCATGTGGAGGACTTGACTTGGGACCGTGTGGCACACTGCTTTTCCTAAAGCTGCAACCGATCGGCTTCCTCTTAACTGTGAGGCTAATGCCACTGAGAAAGCGGACCTAGGACCATGAAGTGCCTGTGTCTGCTTGCTTGCTGGGTTACCAGAAATGGTGGTGTGAATTTCACAGCCGAACACTTTTCCAAATGCAGAATGCTTTTCAGAAATGCTTACATATGTTACAGTGGTATGTGCTGGCTCTGGGGAGATAAGTCGACTGACTCAGGGTGGCTGTTACAGGAGACTCAGTGAGGGGTGTTCAGAGCTGAGGAAGCAAGCCGAGTGGGTTTCTTCAAAAGGTTCTGTTGTAATCATGCTCTCAGTGTGGTCTCCAGTGGTCCCCAAAGGGTTCTCATTGCTCCTGGCAAGTTCGGTTTAACCTTCATTACTTACTGCCCATGCCTCCTCTGCCTGCACTGCTGTGCTGTGTGGCTTTGGGGAAGCATTTGTCCCGTCACACTGCAAGAATTGTTGTTACAGGGCCCAGCGAGGTGTGCGTTGCCCACCGGCACTGACAGGCTTCCGTTGAACAGTCAGGGCACGCTTTGAGTTCGCGCCAGCTCACAAATGTTTGTATCAACAGATGCTATTAATTGCCTTTCCTTTTTCCGATCATCCTTCATGTAGCTGTGTTATAAAAAGTGCTCCACGTTGGCTCCGTGTCTTTCCTATTAGAACATTGCAGATGTGTCAAGGGCGCACATGTTCCAAGAGAAGCTGAGAAGGAAGGAGGCTCCACCCTCCTTCACGAGCCAGAAGGCCCCCTAGGTTCCTCCTTCAGCACCCTGGCGGGCGGGGGTGTGCTATCTCTTTAAAGCAGCTATAGTTTTGTGCCTTGGCGTGGTCACTTTGTTATGGTTTAAAACTGTGCAGCCAGCTGTCTGCAATCTGATGTAATGTTGCCGTGGAAACCAGAAATGAAACACTTAAGCATTCACCACAGAATTACTACATATAGCATTAGCCAAAGTAATTAAAAGTTGAGCCATATGGGCTTTCTGGTGGAAAAATCTGCAACAGAGAGGCTGGAAATCAAATGTTTCTATTTACAATAGTGTAAATTGAGTTTTTCACATCCTTTGGTGGGATAAATTATTGCCTTTTTGTACTAAAGGTTTAGAGGTGGAGGTTTTTGTGCAGATAATTGGGTTTTCACCTTCTCCTTTAGAAGAGGATCAAATGAAAGTTTATTCTAGTACTCCGCCCTGGGGTGGGCTGAGGAGGGGAGCAGAGACCGTCTCGTGTTTGAATGTTTGTAAATATTTACTGTTGTTTTTCACACTGTAGTTTATTTAAAACCTGTCTTAGAATAGTTCTGTATTTATCTCTTGGAATCAATCATTCATCGTATATACAGTGCAGATTCCCTTCATCTTCTACTAAATTCTAGGCTGGAAACTGTGAATTCTCACACCCCCATATTTGGGGGGGTGTTTTCTGAATGAAAAGACACAATATGTTATTTCCAGCATTTGGGAAGTGGCACACGCTGGCTTATGTAAAAGGAGGGATGTGGGATGTGAACTGATAAGCTTAAAAGAAATTTAAGTTCGAAAGAAGTGCCATGCCTTTGCAGAGTCTCTATGTTGATAGTTGGAGAGAATTTTTTTTTAAGATTGTATTTATTTATTTTTAGAGAGGGAAGGGAGGGAGAAAGAGAGAGAGAGAGAAACATCAATGTGCGCTTGCTGGGGGCCATGGCCTGCAACCCAGGCATGTGCCCTGACTGGGAATTGAACCTGTAACACTTTGGTTCACAGCCCGCGCTCAATCCACTGAGCTACACCAGCTAGGGCTGATAGCTGGAGAGAATTTTTTAAAGGCAAATACTTGACATTTCTTTTCCTCTGGACTCCGGAGGAAGTGAGAAGTCAACACCTCTCTACTGATAAAAAAACTTCTTGGAATATACTGTTCAACTCCAGTAACTTCTAGGCTACTTAAGAGATTCTACATTTTAAAAAGAAACATTTGGTTTTATTTTACATTTTTCTTCATACAGAGTGTGCTGCACCTAGCTTGTCCAGTTTTCAAAAGGTGGTGATGCAAAGAAAGTGATTAGCTCCTATGATTTGTGATTTGTTAGAGGCAGCCACCTCAAATCTTTATTTTTTTTAACAGACTAAAAATAAATATTAGTTCAAAGTTCTGAAGAGCTTCTGTTTCTCAAAAATAGATGGAGCATGTGAAAGCAATTAAATAAATACCTGGAATACGTTATTTTTCACCACAGTGGCTCTGGACAGCAGAAGTCGGGGTTGGCGGGGAGGGGGGTGAGGGTCCTTGCCTTTAAGTCTGTTGTCCTGGCTTAGCTTTTCTGATTTCCCCAGGAAAGTTCCCTCTGATGGCCTGTTTCCTACATATATGATTTATGCCTCCGTGGACTGAAGATTTTTATACTAGTTCTTTCTGTACTCCATTTCCCTTTCTACCTCCCCCACCCCTACACATGCTTGTGCCCCACTGCAAGCAGCAATCCCCACACCAGGTATGAGATACATATAATAATACATCAGACATTTTTTATTCATAATGTAAACAACCTATACTTCATTTTCACTTCAGAACTTTCTAACGTGCGGGTTATGGACATTTGGACGCACAGGTTTGTCCCGTCGGTGAGTGCAGACGATTTCTGTCATCTGCTGCTGATTTTTCTTCTACTAGACTGTCCTGGCTTTCCCGCTGCCAGAAGGCAGAATGTTTTTAAGTGATTTTGTGTGATTCCTTGCATTGTGGCTTGTTCAGGTGTCAATTACCCAGAAAGAGGGTCCTTCTCATTCCTCTGGTTGGCCACTGCTACCATTTCATCGCCCATAACAATTCAGTCAAGTAAACATGAAATTCAAACTGGACAGATCATTATAGAGTAGGAAGTATATTTATTCTGATTGTTTTGCATTTTGAGTTTTAGGCCAAATGCAGTAAGCCTAATTACTAGTATGCAATGCAGCCTCCCTCCCCCGGTACCTGGGGGTGCATTTTCTATTCTTGGTCACCAGGTAACCAGTAGTTAACTTACATTCTGGAAATCGTGTGCAACATTACTCTAGGAATTTGAGAAATTGTACGTGGATGTCAATACTCCTCATAGAACAAAAGCCTGAGAGACCCCCCTGTCCCGTGACTTGTCACTCCTGGGGTATAATCACTATTTAGTGGGTGAGTGGCTTGCTTGGGTTGTGCAGGGAGAAGGTGCAGCGGCTCCACTGGGAGGAAGAGGCCGGAAACTGTGTTGTATTTGCGCCTTCCGTAGAGCCAGAGTGCTGTGGCAATGTTCGTAGACTCACAACATGCACCATGTTTATACCTAAGTACCGTATTTCGCCATGTATAATGCACACTATTTTGCCCATATTTTTGAGGGGAAAATAACTGTGCACATTATACATGCGTAGTACTAATTCCATATCTATATAAATGTTTTTTAATTCTTTTATTTATGCATACACATTAAAAGTGTAACTCTAGAAAGCAATAACGATATCCGTATGCAAAATAATACCCTGGAATATGATCGTCGGTTTTGTTTCTGAGTATAAATAAGAAATTGAATTTAAAAATTAAAACGAAAGATTTTTTTTCCCCCTGAAAGTTTGAGACAAAAACATGGGTGCGCACCGTACACGGGAGCACATTATTACACAGTAAAATACGGTAATTCATATACTCTCAGCCTCGTTTCCTCGTGAACTGTTCTCTGCTCCCTCTTCCTTGCCTCCTTTATTGTCTATGACGCTGCGATGAATGAGCGCTCATCTGGGGGGAATGTCTCCATGCCAGACTCGTGCTCGGAGATGTGGTTTGTCTCTGTCCTGAGCATTCAGGGCAGGCATTCCTCTCCCCACGCCTTCAGTGAGGCAGGTTTGAGGAAACGGAGGGAAAGCTGTTGCCAGGATGTGAGTGCAGCGTTAGCTGGAGTCGCACCAGCTGCCTAGGGTGTGCCGCGCCTGCGCACTGCTGCCGGCTCCGTGCTCCCGGGACTGACTGCCTGAGCCCAGCCGCGCGGCAGCCCATTTCATTGGAGACTTCTTTTGCCTTTTCACATTTTGAACAGATAAAACAGAGGAAGCTGCATATTGAATGTTGGAGCCGACTTGGAAGGGAAACCCTGATTTTGTTCACAAGGAAAGGATTGTTTCTTGCCTGGGTCATTGCTGCGGAGAGAAATTTTTTTTCCTGTCTGTAATGTTGGATACTTGAGGGAAAACAGCTGGGCTGAGCATACTTGAATCACTGCAGAGCGGAATGGGATGCTGGGGAATATGGACTGTAGCGTATGCCTGAAAAGGTCAGCTTTTTCCCTTGTCCCTCTTGGAGGAATGCAGGGGCTGTCCTCAGGCCCGCCTGGTGAGCTCTTGGGAAGAGCTGGGAGAGGCCAAAGGCATGGCTGAGATGTGGCAGGCTGGCTCCAGGAGCGAGAGAGAAGGCGGCTTTTTGCATCTCTTCCTTTTTCCTGCCCTGCCAGTTTTGATTTTCGGGGAGGACTGGAACAAGTCAACAGAATTTTTGGTTTGGAGAAGCAGTTGGTGACCACGTTTAAACAGCAAGTCCTGATGGGCCAGACTGAGGAGAGCCTGGCCCAAACCACAGCAGGCAAACGGGAATTACAGGGCCGGCCTTGGAGAGAGTCCTGCGGAGTTCTCCTAAAAGAGGACCGGGAAGTAGTTGAGACAAAAATGTACCCCATGCCGGTCAAGGGCAAGGGTGTGTGTTGTGCTGCTTAAGACCTGATTCTCCACTTCTTAGACTCGAAGATGGTAGGTGGAGCTCCGGGAACCTGTTGGGCAAACTCGTGGGTGCCCGGAGTTCGGCTGCACCCCGCTGCAAGAGCAGAGCCCTGGAGCGTTTGTGTGATTAACTTTTCTTTTGTTTCTTTGCCAGTCAAGAGAACAATCGGATGATGAGACCGAGGAGTCAGTGAAGTTTAAGAGGTTGCACAAGCTGGTGAACTCCACTCGCAGAGTGAGGAAGAAACTAATCAGAGTGGAAGAAATGAAAAAGCCCAGCACTGAAGGTAAAAAAGCAAACCCCACCCTGCTTATTCCAAAGCAAATCGTGTGGGGGCTGTTTTTTTTTTTTTTGTTTTTTTGTTTTTAGGAGAAAAAGAGTATGATTTCAAGTGGAAGATGGATTGAGTTCTGGCAGGGGGAGAATTGGGGCTGCGTGTCAGCTGGGCAGTGCTCTCAGGATGGTGTGGGGTGAAGGCTCTGGTGTCCAGCGTTCTGGGGGCTTAGTATTTTAAATAGCACAGAGATGGGAACTGGCTGGTATGGGGCAGTGAAATCTTCTCCAGGTGTGGCCCAGCTTTAATTTTTGAGCTTATGTAGCTTATATCATTTTATATTAATTTATTTTATAACTTCCTCTTAGCACAAGCCTCTGTCCCAAAAAGGACAGTGGTTCTTGCCCAGTGGATTTGGTCAGAACTCGATAGACAGCCACCTCCAATGAACATCTGACAATGAAGGCACTTCGCGTCCTCTCGGTTCTCTGAGGGACGGTCAAGTCTCAGTTCAGATGAGGCTTTAAGCACTTTCCGCGCAGAGTGGGTCCCTGAGAGCTATATTGCCACCAAACCACGTGGTAGATGAAGCAATAATGTCAAAAGGGGTGTGAGCTTGGATTTCTTGGAATGAATAGTTAACCTTTCAAGTGTAGTTACGACAGTTTGAATCACCGTCGGATCTGCCTTTTTGTTAGTTGTGTGCATTTGCAGCATCTTGTAGAAGATCTTCCCAAAAGATGAAAGAGTAAGATTTCCTGTTTGGTAAATGACTGGAAGAAACACTGGAAAGAATGTCCTTTTTTTTTTAAAGCATACTCCTTATTAAAATGTCACACCTACATTGTGAGGAATTTAAAAATTTTAACATGTAGATTTAGAAAGCACCATTGTCGAGACCTTTTTTTGGTACACAGATAAAATTAAGCTGTGGAGGGAATTGAATTCCCCTTTGTTTAGGTAGATGATGGTTTCCTGCTGTGGTTATTACTGTTTCTTCTTTTAATTTGTTGTAATTATTTGTCAGTTTCAATGCCCTGGAGAAACGTGGCAGGTGAAGTGGTTACTGTGGGAGAGAGGAAGTTGAAAGGGAGAAGGAAGGAGGGGGAAGTGAGGGAGATCGGCTTGATGGCCAATTCCACAGACTGCGAGTTGTATTGAGTCTCCTGGGGTTCGTCCGGGTGTCTTTTTCACACGGGTGCAACGCCGATGTTGCGTTTGGATGTTTGAATGCCTGTGTGCCGGTCACAGTTTCCACAACACAGAAGAGAGCCTGGCTTCCTCTCGCTGTGGCGGCTCGTACTGAAATCATGCACAGTGTCCATCAGCGGCGTTAACTAGAACCACGTGGAGTCACCATCCTTGATTCTAGGGGGCGTCGTGTTCTGCAATCTCATGCACACTTGACAAATCTCAACATCACAACTGGACTGGCGGCCCTTCTTCAGAAACGAGATCAAATGAGTGGAGCAGTTAGTGTTAACCCCTTGACCCCCTTCGTACCTGACAGTCACGTGTGTGGAGGTGGCCTTTCCACTAGAACAACATGTTTAGAAACACAGAAATATCCTAACTCACATATTTATCTCAGAATAAATAATTCAACCAACTCTGAGAGACATAGTTGTAAAAAGGAAAAATATATACCAAAAGAGAGAGCTCTGGGGTGAAAAGAATGACCAGTGGGCTTTTCACTCTGAACTTGAATTCATGTTGGTGTGAGTTCCCTGTCTCAGGTGGGGGGCGGATTCAGTGAGCTGAGTCCCGAGTGAGTTGGGGAGCTGCGATGCCATTGGCTGGGCTTGTTGGTATCCCCAAAGCGATGACCTGTGACCAAGAGAGGCCCCAGGTGTGTGTGCAGCTCAGGGTGTCTGCATCGGCTGTCCCCAACACCTTGCTAGACAAGAACTCCCTCCAACCCCTGCACAGAACCCTCCGAGGTTCCTCATTAGCAAAAGAAGTGGTACTTGCTACTTTGGCCCCTGCTTCTGCAAGCAGTTGAGATTCATATTCCCAACCCCTGCCCCCGTCCCTGCCCCAGACTTTCAAGGATCTGATCCTTTGACTTCCTACATGCCTGGGCCAATACTACGTTGTTTGAATATTTACTGAGAGCATCCTATATGCCAGGCACTTCCTAAACACTTTAGATTTTATGTTCTAATTACTATATCTTCCTCTGGATGGCCACCAGAGGCAGGACTCATTTCACAAAGGAGGAAACTAAGACACCAAGAGGTGAAGTAATTTACTGCAGGTCACCCCACCAAGCCAGCCAGCAGAAGACCCAGAATTAGGTTCGGGCAGCCTGTGTCCTCTGCCTTTTGGGTCTCCACTCTGCTCCCACGCCTTCCCTCAGCCCCCAGCTCTGCAGGCTTAGAAGATCCTGGAGAATTATAACCCTTGACCCAGGCTCACCTGGTAACTTGAGTTTCAAGCCCTTATCTGGGACATGGGTGACCTTAGACAGTATTAAACTGCAAGCCAGGCCAGTGCCCTTTGTCCATTTCTGTGTCTTTTTCCGGAGCTGATACTGTCCCACCCCCTTCCCTCATTGCTCCAGCTTTTGGTGGAACCCGATAGTGAATCACTGGCTCACACTGGGTGCTCTTCAGCATCATAGGGTACTGTCACAGATCTTCTGTTTACTTTTATCCTCCCAATGCCCTCACAGTAGGTTTTACTAAGAAACAGACTCAGAGACCAAAGTAATTGCCCAAGGTCGTGGAGATGCCGAGTGGCAAAGCCAGGGCTGGAGTCCAGGGCATAAATCTGTGTTCTCAGCCTTAAGTCCTCCCACATGGGATCCTGTCAACATCACCTTTCCTTCTGAATTCTGATCTCAGCTGAATAAAATAGATAAAGGTCAATATGCGAAGCAAAAATCACACCCAGTGCCAACAGAGTGAGCACTCCCAATTGTCACTCTCCCCGTGGGGCAGTTGTACTTCCATGTCAGAGGAGAATCGCTGAAGCAGTGCTCTGAACCCAAGGGGTCAAGTCCAGGCTGGGCATTCAGGGCTGGGGGCCCTGCAGACGGAAGAGCCTGCACCATGGGGGGCTGGCCCTCAGCACAGGCTGGTGTGGCTGCATGTCCCTCCAGACTCCTCAGTAGATGCCAGCTTCCGGGACCAGGAGGTAGAGCTACGTAAGTCATGGTCCCAAACTCAGATGTGATGTGGAAGTATTGCAGTCTCTGATGACAACCCTAAAAAGACAGAGCCCAGAAGGTTTCCAGCCCACTGCTGAGTGACAGGGCTTTAATCTATTTAGTCAACCCACCTGATTGCCCCGAAGCCCCTAAGGGGGTAGGTAAGGGCCTTTGCCACACCTCTGGACACCTGGGCCACGGGGTAAAGCCATGACCTGTCACTGGACTGCTTTTGCAGAGAAGGCTGTGCCTCTCCTCTTGGCCAAGGTCAGGAGACTGTCTAGAGAGGTTGCCATTTGTACTCCCGGCAACATGGGGACGGACCCCTGGTCTCCATCCCGTGTAAGTCAGATGTCCTGAGGAAGCAGCCGGAGACTTGCATGATATTTGCTCACTGCCTCTAGTCTGGCAAAGTCCTGTTAGAACCCTAGACCCTAATTTTGACCTCTCTGGGAAGATCCGGGAATAAATTTTCAGCGAGTGTGTTTGTGCCGCAGGTTGTGGAGAGCTTTTGACTGGACAGTTTCCCTTCTCCCTCCCCACCGCCATCTGCTTGACATCTAAGTCAGTCTCGGGCTGTACTGGTGGCAGTGGTCCTTTTTTTCCTGTTTGTCACTGTGAGGTCCCATCTGTTGGAAAAGTAGGAAACGTCTGGAATTTTTAAAGGACTGCTACCAATTCACTCATCTTTTCCCCCGCTCTGAAGTGAGGGGCCCTCTCCCTTTATCGCCAATGTTTCACCACACACTGGCACCCGCATCCCAGCTGGTATATTTAGCGCCATCCCTCTGTTCCAGGAAACTTTGTGTTTTTTCCCCCTTCCCAGTTCAGCTGGTGGAAACCTGCCACGCTCCAAAGTTTCCTTATAATTAAAGGGACGCAGCCAGATGGGGTCACTACACCCACAGTTTGACCTACTTCTTCTTCTCACATCTGTGCACATCACACATGCAGAAAAGAACTCAGTTTTCCTGCCAGCAAGTCCAGACCTTTCCACTGGGCTCCGGAGGGCTTGGCGGTGGTACCTGGCTCCGGCAAAAACTTAAGGAGCTGGAATCCTTGAGACGCAGTGGAACGCTCGATGGGGCTGCTGGCGTGCCCAGGCCCTCAGATGCCCCTGCTGCTTCTAGCAGGGCCCGAGCTGGTGGGAAAGCCTGGCTGGGATCACTCCGCTCCCTCACTCTGTGAGTTTGGCCTGTCAACTGGAGACCCGTCATCCCGCAGTTGCACTTGCAAGGCACAGCCCTTCGTGGCGTTTCCGCACCCAAGCTGCCTCCTCGGCGGTTTAATGACATGGCGTATGCACCAGTAAAAAGCCGCTGCCGGCCACATGGCGTGCATCCCGCTCCGAGTCTAAACAGGCCACCCGCTCAGCAGGAGGGCCTTCAGAAGGGGAGAGATCCTGATTTTCAGCTTCTGAGGATTAGCGCCCTTAAGCTGGGGAGACTAATGATCCTCAAATGCTAAGGAACACGGGTCATGGCAGTGACTGGTTTGGATTGTCCAAATGGCATTCGTAATAGGTCTATTAAGGTGTTTGGTCTGTGAAGCAATTTAAAGAGGGAGAGGAAAACGCAAGTGAAACCTTTTAACATTGAGCTCGTGTGAAACTACACGTTCGTAACCACAGCTTGGTTATTTTTTGTGCATGCTTTTGTTTACGTGGGAGCCAGGCTAGTGAAGAGTACAAGTGATGGGGGCGGGGGCAGGCGCGCGCGGTCATGGTGGTTTCTGTGTGGGCCAGCGTAGTTCTGGTGGGGGTGCGGCAAGAAAGGGGTGAGAGAGACTGCGAAGGCGTGTCTGGGGGCGGGGCCTCACCCTGTCCGTGTTGATTCCTCTGCAGGCGGGGAGGAGCCTGCGCCTGAGAACTGCCCCGTCCTGGACGAGAGGTCCGCCCTCTACTCCGGAGTGCACAAGAAGCCGTTTTTCTTCGACGGCTCTCCCGAGAAACCTCCGGAAGATGATTCCGACTCTGTCGCCACTTCTCCATCACTGAGCAACCTGGAGACCTGGGGAGCTGGCCGGAAGTTGGTCAAAACCTTCAGCAAAGGAGAGAGTCGGGGCCTCATTAAGCCCCCCAAGAAGATGGGGACCTTCTTCTCCTATCCAGAAGAAGAAAAGGCCCAGAAGGTTTCCCGCTCCCTGACCGAGGGCGAGATGAAGAAGAGTCTGGGGTCCCTGAGCCACGGGGTAAGTACGGACGGTCTTTGCTTCTATGACAACCACCGACGTAGGCACCACCTTCTAGTGTCCCTGGAGGAGGTTCAGAGCGTCCGCAAGCACATCCGCTTGAAGAAAACGGATACTAATTATTCATGTTCCAGAGCTTTCCTCTGCCAGCGCCCCTCCAGAAAAGGCGTTAACACCACGACCTGTGACCTGCAGCTGCTGCGGCAGAGACCCAAAGGGGGAGGGAGCTGTGGCGCCCCCAGCAGGAGGGTGCGCGGGCGCCCCTCGGTCAGCGAGTTCAATATCACCTACGTGGTGGAGCGGAGCCTGTACAGCCACCTGAACCTGACCCAGCTAGTGCGTCCTGCCTCAGACAGGACCCTGAGCAAGGCTGAGAAGCAGGACCTGAGGCGGTGCTTGCTGGAGGAGGATGAGGAGGCCAAGAGGAAGTGGGCCGCCACAGTCGACCGCTGTACTAAGAGGGTTCTCTTGAGAATCCACCAGAAGTCCGTGAGTCCCCAAGACGGTCACCAGGATGGCCTTGTCATTTCCGTGATGTGTAGTCAAGCATTATGGCCTTGGTTTTGCAGAGCTTGGCACCCTCCCTCTCTTCTACTTCTAACATCCTCACTTCTGGGTCCGTCCCACCATCCTCTCAGGTTGCCAGCCCTGCTGCTGCTATCCTGGAATGGCTTCTCCTTCTTCTCCATTGTCCTCTTTCCAGCCGAAGCTGTTTGATTTTTAAATAAAACTGAGCATGGATGCTGATCCCAAGCAGGGCCTTCTGGGTCCCGGGGTGGGGTCTGGCCTCCTCCTGGGAGTGGCTGTCTTCTTTCCCAGCCGTCCTGTCACTTGGTCTCAAAGAAGCTGATTCAAAACAGAGGACGCTCTGCCCTTAAAAGAGATGCTTATTGTTTTGCTTAATTAAAACAATTAGGAGCTAGCTCATGGAAAGACTGCCATCATTGCAGGCACCAGTTTGGTGATTTGGAAACATCATCAAGTGTGTTTCTTTTATCAGTAGAAGCAAATGGAAAATTCTTAACTGGAAAGGGCAGAAAATTAAGAGCTTTTTACTTAAGTCTAGTGGGTGTTCTTAATCTTTTTAATCGAAGGAACAGATATTTAAAAACGTCCTGCACGGCTCTCTGTTCTTTTATACATAGTAAGGAATAAAGTGCTTACTTTCAAATAATAAAATGTTTTGTTTAGTTTTACTCCTGAATTACTAAACTTTGTAAAATTTATTTTCAGGGCATGACTTATTTTGAACTTGAGGGTATAGGTATTCTATTCCCTGAAATTCCCACCCACCTTCCGGGCCCTGCCGTCCCCGGGTGCCCTCAGGGCTGCTGGCTGTGCCCTCTCCCCCTCGATTTTTTAAAGGCCTAAGGAATGGGCTACTTTGGAGCCTCTCCTGGGGGCTTCCTCCAGGGTCTGTTCACATTCTTCAGTGAGAGGTTCTTCCCCAGATTTCTGTAATTAAATTCATTCAGTAAAGTTCTGCTTTTGTGGGAATGGAGACTGGCTGGCCAATGCCATCCTTACGATGACCTTCTCCGCTCTCATAGGTCCTTAGGTCTGTCCTGGGCCCTTAGGTTTTCCACATATTCCCACACGAGCTGACTTGCAGGCTAATGCTTGTCTATCTTTTCACATTCCCATCAGTCTCACAACACTTTCAATACTAGTAGCAGCCACTTCTCTTCTGCTTCCTTCAGCATCAAGGCAACCATGTTTCGGTGGTTCGGTTCTGTTGTAAAATAACAGAATTCTTCTCACTCACTCCGTCCTGGGTGACAAATCTTTTGCAAAATACTTGTGGTTAACCAATCTCGGCACGATTTACTTTCTACCTTTGGAAGTGTCCCGCCCATTCTGTGCCTCTGCCATTTGGCACGGCCTTGGTGAAGCAGAGTCACCTCTTCTCTGTTAACTGACGACTCCGCTCTGTGCGTTTCTTTAAGTCCTGTAATCCTGAGTCGCACGGAACCCTCGGAGTTGTCCGTGTGTGCACCTCAGGTGGATGGCGCAGCTGGATCAGGATCTTTCTGTCCAGAAGTCCATGTCTAAGATTGCAGCCAATTCACATTGCACAGGGACCGATTCTTCCTTGACCTTGAGTAAGGGCCTTGGAGCCTTTTATTCCCCCCGTAAAAGTGGCGTGCGTCATCTCTGCCCCACGAGTCACAGAGGCTGGATGTTTCCAAGGTGCCATGACCTTGAGGCCGTGCTGGCCAGTACTACTAATACTTGTTGAAACATGTGTTCAGTACGAAATTAGAAGTTTGCAGGTTACTGTTATTGTAAGTCAGTGGTACAATCAGGAAAACAAAACTTTCTAATTAGTCAGTGAATATAAGGGAAAATAATGTTACATGTGAGAAAGAACTTTTTATTTTTAAGGGATTGAGAGAATTTCTTGCTTGGTTTACTTCAAACTTGTTTTTTTTTCCTCCTATTCTTTTGTCATAAATCTCCTTCATTTATCCAAAGTGTACAGTTTTCTCTAGTCTTCAACCTGGATCTTTCTGTCTTTTTAAAAAAAAGTGCCATGTTTGCTTGATGAAGCCTCAGGGAAATGATAATGCTTTGTATTCACTGAAAATGGTCACTTGTCTCACTTTTTATTTGGTCATTCAGTTTTCATTTGGTGGAACAGACGTGCATGACATTTTGGAATTTTGTCCATTTTTAAACTTCAACCCTATCCCCCCAAAAACATGTGTTTTCAACTGCATGACCATCCCATTGCCTGGACCTCCTCACCCACAAGCATCTATCTTAAATGTTCTTACAATCACCTGCACGGGAGAAGTAGGAACTCTACGAAACTCATTGAGGTTTCATTGATGGAGACCACCCAAGTTGAAGATTGGTTTCCTTTCTTTCACTACTCCCTCTGAAGTCTCTCTTCTCTGTCGAAGGGGTGGTGCTTTCAGAACTACTTGACGTTACTGAAAAGGTAGAGATTAGTTCAGGCAATGCCCATTGTTACAGTCTTTGTTCTCCCACAGCGATAAAGAAGAATCATTTCCAGATATCTTAGCGTATCGCCGGGAGAGGTTTTAGGTGGTGGTTATAAAAACCGATCCACTCTTTTAAGCTTTTATTTTAGGAATAGATGCATACAGCAGGCATATGAAGATATGAACGAGCTTCTAATTTATTACAGTTACACTTTCCACATAAATTCTTTGTCAGTTATTTCATATGCCTCAGAAGCAACGTGCTGGGCTCCAGTGTTGCAGTTAATGCTGGAATTTAAAGCAGGAAAGTGCAAAAGCCATAAAATGAGGCGGCATCTGGGTGCCATACTGTGCCTGTGAAGCCTGGAGTCACAGGAAAAGAGCTGGAACGCAGTCACTGCCTCTGCAAAAACGAGAAATCTCTATTTGACATTGTGAGCCAGAGATTAGCCTGGAGAGGTATTCCTAGCATTGCTCTCCAAGTCAGGGGATTTGGTGAGTGTTTTTGCATAAAGAGGTCTTTCTGTTTTTATAGATTAGATGCAGCTCTAGTTGAGTTGATTATAAGGGAAGTCAGATTGTCCATTGGTATTTGTTAAAAAAGATTTATTTATTTTAGAGAGAGGGGAAAGGAGGGATAAAGAATGGGAGAGATACATCAATGTGTGGTTGCTTCTCACGTGGCCCCTACTGAGGACCTGGCCCGAAACCCAGGCATGTGCCCTGACTGGGAATCAAACCGGCGACCCTCTGGTTCGCAGCCCATGCTCAATCCACTGAGCTACACCAGCCAGGGCTGTTGATGAGTATTTAATATAAAATTAGAATAATGTTCACTGGACATCTGTCTGTGGTAGATTATTTAAAACAGAAGTGACGACTGTGGTGAAGGGGGACAGTCGTGTGACATCCTGAATGCCTCCTGTAACTCTCTGCATCTCCCGACCCTCCCTTCTGCCACACCTGCTAGCTCTCCCTTTGGTCCCGTTCCTGGGATGCTCTGGTTTTACAGTCAAAGCTCCCAGAATGTCAGGCGCAGAACTAAGCTCTGGTCCTTCATTTGCATATTTAAATTATTGTCTAAGCCTAAACTTCAGTAGTGCAATTGTTGAGACAAACTACTGTTCTCAGTGCAGCCCAAATGAGAAGTAATGGAAGAAAGTGACATTCATAAGAGTGTCTGCTTTGTACCAAGTAGTAGGCTAGATGTCTTCAAATATATGCCATAGGTAGTATTTTACAGGTGAAGAAAACAAAGCTCAGAGAGTCTGCGTGTTTTACCTGTGGCCACACAGCAAGTCAAATGGAGAACCAGGATGTGGGTCCACGTCTAGCGATTTCAGAAACCTAGGCGTTTTCCTTCTGCATGTTTCTTTTTCAACTCATTTAATTTCTATCTAAAGTACATTTATTTTAAGTAGCGTTTACAGTATACGTTGTGCTTTATGTTTGTTTCTTGTGTTTAATAGCTGTTAACTAGAGTTCTGTGAGAAACGTTCTACAAATTATGGAACCCAAATCTGATATTCAACTTTATTACCAGTATCTTAAAAGACAATCAGTTGTAACAAGAATTAGTGTGCTTTAAGTTTCTCTCTCTCTCTCTCTCTCTCTCTTTTTTTTTTTTACAGATTTTTTGTTGCAGGAAGGGTCAGGGAAATGGTCCTTGAGTAGCTTTTGCTAGATAAATGAAAGGGAATTCAAACCAACCTTTCAACATATAAAAATCACTGAAATATATGCAGTTTCACAAAATTTGAAACCAATGGAAAGAGCATTAAAGTTTTCATTTTTCATAACATCTGTGTTTTTCCTATTGGAATTAAGGAGTGCAGTCAAAGATAGCCATGGAATCAACTTTTTTCTTTCTGGGCAAATGTGGTGTCTCCACTTCATGCACCGAGAAAAAGGTCATAGTTAATGAAGTCAGGCAGTTAGCAGGGAAACTTACCCGAGTTTTTGGCTAGGTCAGGAAAGCAATGAGTTGAGTAATCCTCTTGGCCTGATTGGACTGCTATAAACATAACCTATTTTCCCCCTTCTTAGTGACTTAAAACTAAACAAAAGAGTCTGTTTACAAGGCCTGCCATCAATTGGTGGCAGAGCCAGAGGATTTCAGACCTGGGTTTCCGAGATCCTTCAGGGCACACGGCTTCCCTCCTTACCAAGATCATGCGCAGCTTACGATCAGAGGGCTGGGCGGGGAAGTCTGTTGCTAAGCAACAGAAACTTGGAGCCTTTAACCTGTGGAGGGTGTTTGGTCATGTTTCTGTTTTTTAACCAGTTGGTCTTTGTGCCACCAGGGGACTTTGGACCTCTGGTGCAGGCGCCGTCCCAGCGGCCCGTGCAAGGGGTAAAAACTGAGGGAAGTTTCCTTGGGACATGAGTCATGTATTTTTTTCCCATCGTTTCTCGTCCGACCTTCATCCGTGTCGCATCTGTGGTTCCATGACGTCCTGCAGGTGGGGAATGTGCTGGGCTGACTCGAGCATAACGGTCCTGCCCCCTCCTTTCCACAGAGAACCTGCAGTTTCGGAGGGTTTGACCTGACCAATCGCGCCCTGCACATCGGCAGCAGTAACTCTGACCCGCTGGTGAGTGGACGGCGGCAGAAAAGCAGGAGGTTCGGGTTCGGGCGACGTGGTTGGCATAGTTTCCCACCAAGTGTCTTTGAAACTGAGACTGGTAACCTTTTCCTGGGTGATCCTAAACCACGTTGGAAAAGAAGACCTATGTCACACATTTAAAAAAATTTTTTATTGAATTTATTGGGGTGATAATAGCTAATATTATATAGGTTCCAGGTGTATAATTCTATATCTTATATATATATTTATTTAAAGATTTGTATTTATTTTTAGAGAGACAGGAAGGGGGAGGGGGGAGGAGAGGGAGAGAGACATCAATGTGTGAGATATATCTACTGGTGGCTTCTCACACACCCCCAACCAGGGACCTGGCCCACAACCCAGGCCTGTGTCCTGACTGGGAATTGAACCGGCGACCCTTTGGTTCACAGGCCAGAGCTCAATCCACTGAGCCACACCAGCCAGGGCTCATCTGTATATTGTATTGTGTGTTCACCACCCCAAGTCAAGTCTCCATCCATCACCATTGACGCCCCCCTTCACCCTCCTCCACCTTCTTCCAACCCCTTTCTCCCTTTGGTAATAATCTCCATGCTGTTGTCTGTGTCTGTGCTTAACCCCTCCACCTGTGCACCCAGCTCCTCCCCCAGAGACTCCTGTCTCCTCGGGGCCACCGCTGGCCTCCGTCTCTCTCCTTCCAGCACCACCTTCCCTTCTGTGCCTGGTTTCCCCTTTTCTCCCAGTCACGCATGCAGGCATCTGCGCTCAGCCCCCGCGGTCTCCCCCTGGTTTTCTGTGTGCACGACTGCAGCACACAAGCCGCGCGGCGGGATGGAGCCCTGTGATTTGGGTTCAAGGGTATTTGCCAGAATCTCTAAAACCCAGTTTTATCATAGGCCAAGTGCATCACCCCCTATTAAGCCTAGGTCTTTCTGATCTGGGATGTCCTGGAGTGAACCCAGCCTTCTTGGGGACAAAGCAAAGTAATGTCCCGAGGGCCGGGGTTACTGGCTGCTCAGACCTGCTGCTTCCGGACCTCAGTCTGGGGACAGGTCTGTCCAAGCTTTGCTCCCCGTGTTGACTTGCTTAGGCCCCAGGTGTAGGCGAGTCTGATGTACCATTTTGTTTTCCCCTCGTGCATTTTGTCGGCACACTATACCAGGTGTCAGCTGAAACCCCCGTTTGTGATTTGTGAAGTGTTTGAGAATTTCCTGGAAGCATAAAACTATTTTATTTAGACATCTAGTTTCATTGATATGTAAACCAGTAATTTTATATAGCCAATCTTTTAAACAATGAAAGAATGAGTTTTTTCCCCCTCACTCGTAGGAGTTGACCACACGGATGCAGATCCGACCGGACGCTGGTTCGTAGTGACCGTGATTTCCCACTGTGTTCTCGCCACTTTCCTGGGCGATGCGTAGTGTTGTCCTCCTCTTCCCCCACCTCTGGGACTACATCCCCTACCCAAAATACTGGTTCCTCTGAATCACTCTTTACTAATGAAATGCCATCCCCTTGGGCATTTAAAATGCTGGAAAAAAGTATAATAGGAGAAGAATATACTAAGATTAAATAAAATAAAAAGTATCTCACGTCCCACTTTAAACAAACAAAAGCCCCTTAGTGAGTAGCTTTCAATTTTTAATAAAAAAGATAAATAACATCCACCTGAAACAAATATAAAATAATGTTGAATGTCAACTATAATTGAAAAAATAAAAAAAGTTGAAAAAACAAAAGAAAAGTTAAATGATTAATAATGTAGCCCTGATTGAACATAGGAAAAGTTGCAAAGTCCTGGGGGATGCCAGCATTTTTCTGAGGTAGAACATTAATGATTTGGATAATAAAACCTGCTTGGGGACTTCATTTTCTGTGATTAAAGGTATTTTTGTTTTGTTTTGTAGGGCAAAGAAGGAGATTTTGTGTACAAGGAAGTCATCAAATCACCTACTGCCTCCCGCATCTCTCTTGGAAAGAAGGTCAAGTCAGTAAAAGAGACGATGAGGAAGAGGATGTCTAAAAAGTACAGCAGCTCCGTGTCCGAGCAGGTAGGCACGCGGCTGTCGCGCCGGGGGGGCCCCGTGGCTCCCCCTGGCGGCAGGTAGGCGAGGGCGGTCGGTCCGAGGCTGTACACGGCACTACGTACAGGCGTTTGCTGGCGTTCACGCGGCCCTGGGAGCCTGCTCGGTTTCCGCAGTCGAACATTGGGCGCCACCAGCACTTACTAAGCCCTCAGGGTCCTTTTGGCGCCGTGCTTGGTGCTGGAGGCGAAAAACTAGGCCTTCCCTTCCTACTTTGTGTAGACGGAAGGAACAAGACACGTGAAAAAACGATACTCTTTTAGTGCAATAAGCACTAAATTTATATACAAAGGGAGGCTTTTATTTTCTAAAATATCCCTTCCTATAGTGGACGTCACGGCCATCGAATCTAAAAGGAAGACATTCAAGTTTCTGTAGGCACCAGTCGCTCTAGAAAGACGCAGCCATCTGAGCAGCAAACTCGGAAAATGCTGCCTGGCTGCGGGACTTCCATAGTAATCCCGTTTCCATGGGGATGTTTTCACTCCCCGGCTCTCTCTGCAGCCATTAAGGTGTCACAGAATTGATCCCCTCCAATTCTAGATTATCGCATCAGTGGAAAGAACAGGTTCTGTCTTAATTGTGTGGGTGGAGGGAATAAAGACATGTGGAGAGCTGAGCCTTTGGCTGATTCTGACCGTTAGATTTTCAGAGCACTCTCCTCCGGCAGGAGGTCATTCTGTAGTCTGTTGAAGTTCTTGTGTGTGCTGGTTCTCTGCTGGAAGTGTGTAGGTAATGCTGCTGTATCTACCCGGTAAAGCCAGGGACAGCAGGCATTGTGGCTCCGCTGCTGCCCTCTAGTGGGCATAGTAAGCTAAAACCCAGGCATTGCCTTGTTTGGATCACCGTGAACATGGACTAGCCAGCTTGGCCATCCACAGTGATTCAGACGAAGCCTGCACAACATCTCCAATTTGCTGCAGTTGTTCTCACGGGGTAATTTTGCTGCCCCACCCACCTTGAGGCTTTTGGACAATTGCAGCTTGGGTGGGTGCTACTGCCATCTAGTGGACAGAGACCAGGGAGGCATGTTACAATACACAGGACAGTGCCCCCCTGACATGGAATCCAAAATGCTGATAGTACTCAGGTGGAGAAACCCTGGCTTGCTAGATGTACAGGGGAAGTCGGGGCCACCTCCAGTGTGTCTTCCCTATGACTGTTTTGGTGTTTTTTGCATTTCGGGGCCCTGTGGGTGTGGGCGTGATGGTGATTTGTGTTTCTGACCAGAAACAAAGCAAACTGCGCTCTCCTGGGAAGCCAATGTTATGCCAATGGCAGCAGCACCTCTAATTTAAAAGCACTTCATTTAGTTGGCTTTTCCCCTAAAAGCTCATGTAAATATAACACCCACAGGGGTTTTCTGCTTTATGGATCATAAGCATGGAACTTTCATGCCATTTGAGCATTTTTCTGTAATTTTACTACTATATGCCTGCCTTGTATTCTTAGTTCTCTGTTTTTTAAAAGCAGTCATGTCACATAAGTGAAAAAAGAGAGAAGGAATAAGTGAACATTATAATGCTTAGGGGGAAGAGGAGATTAATGGTTGCAAGCTTTGTTCATTTTTTTTTTAACTTTTGAGTAAATATGCCAACCACTCTGGTAAGGATTTTTATCTGCTCCATTCCTGTTATATGTCTGTTACTTGCAATAGTATGTGTTGTTGTAGATAATCCATACATATGTGATGAATAAGTTAATAATTTTTCAAAGCATTTAAGAACATACAGTATCAGAGATGTATATTTAATATCACTATTTTAAAAAATAAAAGCATGCGTGCTTTTAGCAGAAGCATCAAAAAAAGAACTTAATTGGGCAGATGTCTTATTTTAGGATTTAGAAATGAAACTCTATTCAAGGATGAGTACTTCGTAGCGTCAGTAGCTTCCAAATCATGGCACCTCTGTTGAGAGTGTTGTTTTCGAGGTCATCTGCTCACTTCCCTCAAATGTGAAGCAGTGCGTGTGGGATCCAAAGCGGCCACAATTGTTGTCCTCAGATGCTCGCGGGCCCCGCAGACTCCTGTTCGAGCCCTTCTGATGAGTCGGCACCCCGCAAATAACAGGTTTTGCTTGGGCAGCTTGGTGCTCGCAGGGCTGCGACTATGCCAGAGAGGTTTAAGTTTTGGCCAGTAAGCCGTTCTCACGGCTGACGTTGGAAGGGAGACATTGTTTCACTCACTGCTCATCAAGCGAGCCTTCCGGGCTTCCGCGTGCACATGCGGGGCCGCCACGTGGATGGCACGGCCACCCCAACAGTGACCGAAAGGGGCATCGCAGCTTTTTCCTGACAGCACGGAAAAGAACTGGTAGATGCTAAAGCCTGGGGACAATTGATAGCAGCTCAGGCCTATGGACACTTCTTCACAGACTGAGAGACGGTGTTTTTGCCACATGCCTGGGTCCTGAGTTGGTATTTCATTAGCCAGTTTCAATCATTTGTGTCACTAGAAGCGTAAGAATCTGGTCTTTTCTTTTTAGGCAAGGGATGTGCACTTTTTTTTAGTGTAAATGTTTCCCTTCAGATAGATTAAATATCCCCTTACTACTGAATTCTACCTGATGTGCATTTGGAGTCCAGCTTCATTGCTGGATTGTTGAGTATGCCAGCAGTCTCGCAGCCTTTAACGAAGTATTTTGTCTAGGGAGGTAGATAGGTGTGGGGGGGCTCCACCCACAGGGCCCCCCTGGCCGCCACGGATGAGAATAAGTCTACCAAGATATGATCTGCTTAGGGAGGAAAGGTGGTGGATCTCTCAAAGGAGAAGGGCCAAGAGCCTTTTCCTCAATGGTTTTACTGGGTTTGTTTGCACAAGAATTCAGGTAAAGCTAATTACTCATTGCTGGGAAGTAAGGATCGAACAATAGATAACAAGGAACTCTGAGGGCCTATTTTGAGTTAGGCTCAAAGAACTGTAAAACACTTTAAGGAACAAACTTACTTCTTCCTTGGAGCCTTATCATTTAATTGAGAGCATTCTAAACAAAGCAGGTTTCACAGGATTTTACATATTCTTTCTTAGGCCTGATCACCGAGGGAACCCGCCCTTTCCAGCACAGGGCGGCACCACCCTCTGCTATTGTTTCAGGCTTAGGTGGAGCAAGGGAAGTAAGGCAGCCAAGAGATTAGGAGATTTTCTCGCAGACAGAATGAGGACTCAGGCTATGTCGAAGCCGAGGGATGAGGGTCCATCACCCCCTTTTGCTGTAGCCCGCAAAGTCCTTCTTTTGGGGGGCCTCCCAAAGTGATCGTGCCTGTCTTAGGTCGTTCCCCCCTTGGGGAATCTTACCCGTCATTGGCTAACTGACCAAGCATTGGGGGCCAGGCAGGGTGAAGAAAAAGGAGCAGAAGCGGTGCTCCTGCCAGGGAAATAAGCTTTTGTCTCCTTGCTGGCTTATGGTCCAAGGTCGTTCCCTCAGCCTTAGCCTTGTGAGGGGGGAGGGTGGTTACAGCTTCTGATACTAGGCAGGGCAGTTCCCAACAGATAGGGCTTTCTCAGAGATTTCAAGAATGTCTATTTGAGCATGAAAACTAATTTTTAAGTGTTTAATTAGTAGTTATACAGGCTACACCTTTAAAACAGAGTAAGAGCATAGATTAAACAGGAGGAGAATGTTGGCTGAGGCATCACCTTTGCTTTAGTTGAGGGCAGAATTGCTTTGAATTACAAAACGGTAGTCGTCCACCCCGATGAAACACACTTCTGTTGAACTCCATTGCAGGACACGAGCCTCGATGGAATGCCGGGCTCCCCTCCCGTCTCCCAGCCTGACGTTGAACACGTGGACAAGCCCAAGCTCAAGGCCGGGGGTTCTGTGGAGAGTCTGCGGAGTTCTCTGAGCGGACAGAGCTCGATGAGTACGTCTACTTTGTAATTGTAGATGCTTTCCTTCGGGATCAGTCAGACTTACTGGGTGTCAGGTCCAGGTAACTCAAAGACAGCCCAAGTTTGCATCCTTCAGATACTCTTAGAGAGCTAGACCTGCAAAATACCTGGGCCTGGAGTCGTGCTTGTTCAGTCTATGTACAGCAGTGGCACGAAAGGCGGGTGGTGAGTTTTGACTGCAGAAGACAGGGAAAGCATCTCAGAGGAAGGATCTGAAGAACAGAGAGGGTGTCTTCAGGGTCATTAAGAAGATGACCAACAAAGTAAGAGATGGGGGAAGGGAAGATAGCTATAAATTTCGCTGATTACAAGTGCTGGCCAGCCACTCTGACCAGTGGTGGTGTCCGCAGAATGGTATGGGGGTGGATTCCACAGTTAAATGCACCACTTTTTTTTTAACACTTTATTTATTTTTAGAGAGGGGGGGAGAGAGAGAGAGAAACATCAATGTGTGGTTGCTGGGGGTCATGATCTGCAACCCAGGCATGTGCCCTGACTGGGAATCGAACCTGCGACACCTTGGTTCACAGCCCGCACTCAATCCACTGAGCTACGCTAGCCAGGGCTAATGCACCACTTTTAAAAGCACCTGGCCTTGGGGAAGTTACTTGACCTCTCTGAGTTTGTTTGCTCGTCCGTTAATGGGGGTAAAAATGGTATGCCAACCCACGAGGGGTCGTAAATGTGAGGGGCTTCTGATGTCACCTGCACTGCTACATCATAAAGATACCTCCCTCATTGGAGTCCCGCCTGTCCAATTAGCGGCTTACCTAGGGGTGATAATCAGAACTCTCAGATCCTCCCTGGACTCAGAACCGGATCCCGCTCTGGTCCTGACCTGCGTGCGGCTCACGGTTTCACTCCGCTGCCCTCTAGTGCCCTAACCTGCGGTTCCTCCAGTGTCCTTCAGCCCCGCTCTGCGGGAAGCCCGTACTGTACTGATCCCTCTTCCCGTGTTGCCCGTGCAGGCGGTCAGACGGTGAGCACCACCGATTCCTCGACCAGCAACAGGGAGAGCGTCAAGTCGGAAGACGGCGACGACGAGGAGCCACCCTACCGGGGCCCCTTCTGCGGGCGCGCCAGGGTGCACACCGACTTCACGCCGAGCCCCTATGACACGGACTCGCTGAAGCTCAAGGTGCATCCCTGTCTGGCCTTAGACCTGGGCCCTTTAAGAGGTGTTCTGTTCTTGCCGTTGGATGCTGGGCTGCTGCGGTGCTCCTGGCCCGCGTTGTGGCTGCCTCCATAAGCCGATCTCCTCTACAGTGAGAAACAGAACAGAACCGGCCAGCATTCGGGACAGAGGCGGGTCTAGTGTTAATCCTCTGTCCTCACCGCTTCATCCTCCTGGCCCTGACCTCTGACCTCAGCGTCCCTGTGGAGTTTCTGTTGCCCTCTAGCCCCAAGTTTCTGCCCTTTCTTCCACCGAAGAAACCTTACTTCCTTCTCTCCATGGTCGGTGGTATTTATATGGGACAGGTGGCGTTCCACAAAATGTATGTAGCAGTTACAGAGCGGGGATTGCCGCCAGCATTTGATTCGGGGGAGATCCTTTCTCTAAGCCCCAGGAGCTCCGGATGATGGCAAACCATTCAGAGAGCCGAGCCCTTGCACCTGGCCATGCGCACTGGGGGCCCCTCACCCTGTGGGGCCGGAGGGCGGAGGGTATGAGACCAGCAGTCAGGAAGGTCCTGTCTTGCCCTCTCCCAAACCCATTCATAAGGCTGCTCGTGGAACCCCGATTCTGGCCGCCTTAGTGATTTCACATCTATGTGATTCATATATCTCATCGAGTTGTGGTTCATGTGTAGAAATGTGCTTAATGGAAAGATCTTTGTTCCCTGGGCCACAGAAAGGAGACATCATCGATATCATCAGCAAACCACCCATGGGCACCTGGATGGGCCTATTGAACAACAAGGTGGGCACCTTCAAATTCATCTACGTGGACGTGCTAAACGAGGAGGAGGAGAAGCCCAAGCGCCCCACCAGGAGGAAGAGAAAAGGAAGACCACCCCAGCCCAAGTCGGTGGAGGATCTCCTTGACCGGATCAACCTGAAAGTCAGTTCCCTCCAGTTGTGGTCACATGTTGCTCTTCCTTCTAAACTAAGCCAGCCAAGGAGGACACTTGCGGGGGTGGGGGGTACTCACGTCTTCCAACAGGGCGGCCCGTTATTATGATGAGCAGCCATTATTGCGCAGAAATCGGTAACGGTATTCTAACACAGCCCTTGACCTCTGCTGCGGGCGTTAGCTAAGCCCCAGGTGAGGATTTGCTGTTAACACCCCAAGAACAGCTTTCCAGGAGCTCCGAGCGTCAGGCTCCTGCCAGGAAGGGCAGTAAGCACCACCCCTGCCCCCCTGCGCCCTCGGCTCCACAGAGGCCGTGAGAAGCCCCTCCTCCCACATCTCCCACCACCATTTCCAACATCTCGTGAGGGGTGGGGGCTGCAGCGGCAGGTCGAGTCCTCCTTGCAAAACCCTCTTGTTTCTGGGGAAGTCGCAGTCCTTTCTGGAAAGGAGAGAAGAGGCTCCCCCACTGCACGCTGTGTGGCGCCCAAGGTGGCAGCTCATAGCAAGGGCGCAATCAAAACGCCAGCCAGGGGAGCCCAGTTCAGTCTGTAGTGCACATCCTCTTACCCTGTGATTAACCATCTGCCTGCTGAGCCGCACAACTGGGAGGCGCAGATGCTCACAAATGACACTTTTCTTTCAATTAGCATAGAAACGACTGTGGAAGAAGTGTGGGGGTTTGGAGCTGGTTGTGGGTCCGTGGGTCACGGGGCTGGGCCTGCTGACGCACTTCGGTGGTCTTCCCCTCGCAGGAGCACATGCCCACCTTCCTGTTCAACGGATATGAAGATCTGGACACCTTCAAGCTCCTGGAGGAGGAAGACTTGGATGAGCTGAACATCAGGGACCCGGAACACAGAGCAGTTCTCTTGACCGCGGTGGAGCTGTTACAGGAGTATGACAGTAAGTCATGCACCCCACACCGTTGCCAGGTCACCAGCCGTCCTCCTGTAAGCTGCCAGCATGCTCTCAGGTCCCTGGAGTCCCCGTTTGGTCCTGCCCTCTCCACCGCCGAGGTCAATTTGGCGTTACGTCACACGGCACAAAGACACACATTGCCCGTGCAGCCTTCCTGGTGATGTGGGAGCAAAGGAGGACCTTCCGGCTGCTGTCGTCCTTCCTGGCGTGTGTCTGGGTCTAGGGAGTAGTTGAGGGAAATGCTGCTGCAGGTGGCCGAGAGTGGAATTGCAGTTTCCTTAAGAAACAGTACAGGTCGCGTTAGGAACTCTCGGGCTGAGCGGCCTTCCACAGGTCCTAAGGATACCTGGGCTCAGAAGGGCCTGACCAGCTGGAGGTGTGTTGCACAGCCGAGGGTTAATTATGTCTCAGAGCACACGAGTTCTTTTCTCCCTGAAGAGGCGAGCTCGTCAATAAGTGCCATTCTGCAGCTCCCGTTAAAGGTGCGGGACACAGCTGCCGTGAATGTGCGGAGCAGAGACTCCCACGCCGCGGAGGCTCCGCCGAAACTGTAGCTCGTTTTTACAGCCCGTGAGCAGAACTCAGTGGGCTCGCGGCTTTTATGAAGTCTATTTGAATGCGTGGCGTCCTTTGCTCCATTAACTTAGTCTTGTCTTGCTCTTTGCTCTTCGGTCTGACATCAAAAACATCCCTGAAATTATTCACCACAAAGGAAGCATCATTTCCAGCTACTGAGTTCCAGTGCATTTTATTTCATGTGCTCTGCTTCAGGGGTATCAGTAGCTAATAGCATTTCTATTGGTAAGACACACCAAAACCGTGGTTAATGGTGGGAAAAAAGTATCCGTGACTGAAGGTATCGGGCCCAGGAGACGGGAGGCCAGTGTCTCTCTCAGCCCAGCGACACTCACTTTGGCTGGCGAGGTCCTCCCCCAAAATTAACTGATAACACGGGGGACCACACGCCACCATAGAGATAGATGTCTGAACCTTAGATGAACGCGCTGCCTTCGCGGACGGATCTGCAGGGCCTGGTGTCCTGCAGTGCGTGCTCGTTTATCACCAGGCGTCGTTAGTGTTCACATTGCCTCCTGAGGGTCTGCGGCCCGGCTCTGAGTCAGAGAGCCCAGGCCAGGGCCCGGCGTGGCCAACCAGCTATATTAACAACAGTGGAAGCCAAGTCATCTGGTCTTCTGGACCACATCCGTTCTATAAAGGAGCTCGTGTGCTCCTCCTCGGATTCTGAGAACAGCTGCCTTATAAGCCCTGTTATCCATGTTGCCCTTTACCGTTCAGGACATAGGAGGAGCCACGCCGACACCTAGAGTACAACGCAGGCTCTAGGCTGAGGCTCTGGCGTAACCTCATTGGCTCAGACTCGTTGTCCTTCTTGGAGCCCCATCCTGGGGTTTGCACCAGGAGATATTTTGCAAGAGGAAATCTCTGCCCAGCAGTGATGCTCGCTCAGATGTCCAGGGAGGGCTCTTGGCTTCTTCCCAAATCTCGTTTCAAATGTACACTGTGCCACTGCCACAACGTTCCTGGCGCATGAAGCAGCACTTCTTGTATCAGCTCTACAACAAAGGCTTCCGGGGCTCAGGGGTGCTGATCAGTGACAAGGCTCTGGGTCCAGACTTGAAGATTTCACATTCAGTTCTGTTCTGCGTTTAAGCGGTGTTCTAAGTAACGGGTAATGTAGAGGAACACAGTAGATACATGTCCAACTAAATGTCTGTCCACCAGACAGATTCAGAGACTGACAGGTATTTCAGAGGCCTCGCAAGCCTTCCAGCTCAGCCTCCCAGAGAGCAGGGAGCGCAGCCACCCACCACCCTGTCGCACCCAGGCCCGGGCAGTGCAGCCCTCCTGCTGGGTCCCCTGCGGGAGAGACTCTTGTCCAATGCCGTGGGGCTTCAGCCACACCACCCAGTCCCCGGCTCTTGTTTGCTTGTGAGAAATGTCATGGTTCCAGCTCACCTTCTTCCCTCTTTGTGCCTCGACATTAATTGCAGTAAGTACAAGGAGAGGATACGGCCTCGAATCTGCCGCACATCGGGGGGGCGCCCCACCTCTTCGTTCTCTCCGATGTCGGTTTCTGCTCAGTAGCTGCAGGTTGAAAGAGAGGGACAGTAGCCCCTTGACATAGGCCTCATGGTTTTATAAACTGAACTGTTTTCTAGGCAGTGGGAACGTCCCCTTCCCTCCGGGCAGGTAGCGTGATGTGTCTGATCAGGGTGGCGTCCCCACAGAGGCAGACGCAGGCCGGGTCCCCACGCAGGGACCGGGCACGTTTTTAGTTGGATTCCCATTGGTCAGCACTTCGGAGTCTGCTGTAGCCGAAGCAGTACACAGAACTGTCTGTCTTACCAGGACAAGCTACGTGAATTCCTCTCCCTGGGCTGTAACCAATACTGCAAAGCCCTCATTTTAGGAGTAACGATACTCCCTAAATAACATGCTAGGCTGGGACAAAGGCCGCTCCAAACCCGCAGACCCTTCCGCACAATGAGCACATCGCCCTAGAATGTTCCACGCCTTGTGCAGGGGTCAGGGCAGGGTTTGCTCTTGTGCTTCCGATTAGTTACTTTTTCATTAATCACTTTAAAAATAGCACTTCTGAACTTGGGGGTCTAATTCAAGGGCCTCCTCTGCCACGATTTGTGTTATGAAATGCTTCCCACGTGCGAGACACAAACAGGAAGTGGCGTTCGGACATGGGATGGCAGCCCTCTGCCTTCCCACAGTGTCTTTTGTTTTTCTAACGACCTGGGAAAAGGCATCAGATTTCTGGTCTGTTGATTTCTTCTTTGTGTGTGCAGTAGGGGGAGGATGAGTGAAGAGAAAAGGAAAGCCATTCCTCATGCCAGTGGTTGTTTTATGTAGAAGATGTTTCCTTAGTTTCTGTGCGATGGGACCACGCACGTGCTCTGCACAATAGTACGAAGATGTTCCTCATGTTCCTCCTGAGACCTCAATCCCAGGTCAGACCCCATGTGCCCTTGTTGTGCACAGTGCACAGAGGGACACTGCTGGCTGGAGAGGGCCCCCGGGACTTCCCACGTGACTCAAGCTAGGCAGATGTGCATGCCGCCAGAACATCTGCTTCTCTTTAGAAGGCTTCCTTCGAAGGAGGACGTCCACCTTTCAGCTGTCCGCCCTAGGGATAGTCATGACTCGGTGCCCTGGGTAGCGTGTGCCCTGAGCCTTAACCTGTGAGCAGAAACGCTGACCCAGTGCAAAGGGAAGGAGAGCCCTCTCGCTCGGTCCAGCCAGCACAAGGACTGTCCCCTGGGCTCTCGTTGCTACGGGGCTTGTGTCCCCTCTTGCCACCTTACTTCGTTGACATCATACAAGGGCCAGCATGTGTCACCGAGGCCAAAGATCGCTTGAAAATTGGAATAAAATTTGATATTTCATTTGACACTTTTACATTAGCTTCTCAGTGCGGAAAGCATGTGGCAAATAGTTTAAAACGCACATCTTAGAAATTTCTAAAAGGCAGGGAGGATCTAACAGCTCCTTGTGAAAGGGACATGCTCACGCTTCACTTCTGTGCTGCCTCGCGTGGGACCAGCCCTCCGAGTGCTCTCCCCACCCCCACTGTGGACGCAATGCTCAGCATTCCTCTCCTAGAGACTGGGCGCCTGGCCCAAGGCCAGAGTCCCCCTCTGGGTAACTTCCAGATATCGACATACCTGAAGTATGTACTCTTAGTCTCCAAATTCATTTGCACATGATACTCGAAAAGGAAAGTGTTTGAAGAGAAAAATGTTTGGATCTTATTCTTTTTTTATCTCCTCTACTTGAAAATAATTAGCGTTCTTCCAGAAGTCCAAGGCTAAAACGTGTATGGCGTGCGCGCCAGTAACTGAGGAGAAAGCGGGCTTTGGTTGACTTGGGAACCTCTGCTTTCGGTCCCTGTGTGATCCCATGCCTCGTGTTCCCCTTCTGCAGGTAACAGCGACCAGTCGGGGTCCCAGGAGAGGCTGCTGGTGGACAGCCAGGGCCTGAGCGGATGCTCCCCACGAGACTCGGGATGCTACGAGAGCAGCGAGAACCTGGAAAACGGTAATGTCAGCACCGCCTGGCACGCGCCTTCACTGCGACCCTCTGGGTCATTTCCTAACATCTGTGCTGTGGCTGATGGCTATCTCCCTTCCTCCGCCTGAGCTTTTGGGAAGTCCTAGCAATAGAAGGAGGAATTTTCCCAAGATTATTGGTGCTTAATTAAGACCTTAGGAAGAACGAATGTCCCTCAAGAACCTAGGCAACTGTTGTTCTTAAGAAACGGCTGCAGTGGTCTTCTTGTCAGTTACCCTTCTGTCCCTCTTAGGGAGTAAGTGCAGAAAGTGTAAGGCTAAACCTGCATGTTAGAGAGAGGGACCCCCAGCCCGCCACCGTCCAGATACTCTTAGAGTCTCCACACCCGGTGCAGATCATGAGAAGAGCCGTGGGGTCTAAAGTGAGGGGACCAGGGGTTTGGGCCTTGAATAGAACATTTATGAGCTGAAGACTTTGGGCAGATGACTCCATGTCTCTGAGCCCCCTTATTACTCCTATTAGTAGATAAGTTTCCCTTTCATGGAGTGTTATAAGACTTAAACAGAGCAATAAGATATTGATAGTACTCAGCACTTACTGAGCGCTGACTGTGGAACTGGGCAGTGGGCTGGGAGCTTATGTAACATGTTACCGATTATCACTCAGGCCCTGCAAGGCACGTCTTCCAGAGGAAGGCTTGGAAGGCAGAGAGACTGTAGAGTGACTGAGGCCACCACTCGTTGCCTTCAGACCTCGCCCCTCGGCTGCCACCCCCGGCTCGTGAGAGGCTCCCAACCAGTGCCTTAGACCTCACTGTCCGACACCACGCGCGTGTCAGGTCCTTACTCCACTCGGTGGCATCAGACACCCACCAGAGGTGTCCAGGCTTCACAGAACTCGAAGCCAGAAGGGGTGCAGTTTGTATTTGTTATCACAATAAGTGCTTTCAAAAACCATGGCTCAGCTAAAATAAGGGGGCCTATTTCTGAACAAGAACCAGGGCAGCCCGTGCCATGGAGGACCTCTTGCCTGCGTCTGTGCAGTTGTCAGGAGCCCCTCTGAGTCCAGGTGGACGTCACACGGGGCACGCAGGGCTGGTTCTGTGGGTGCCGTCATCGTCCCTCAGCTCAGTTTTTCTTCTTCCGTACTCGGGAAGCCCGAGCAGGGGCGGCCCTCCGTGTTTGGACCCGGCCAGCGAGGCGGGCAGGCTGGTTAGCTCAGGGCCCACCGTTATGGGGCGACTCCTTCGGTGGAGAGAGGTTTGGGTAGTGGTCCATCAAAGGCCACAGTCTGAACATCCCTGATGGATAGGAAGAGAAAGTGAAAAGACTTGACTTTATTCAAACATTCATCGCTTCATTTTTTTTGGTGGAAGCTAGATCTCTGAAAATAAAGGGTCTACGATTACATCTTAAAATAACTACATTTTAGTTTTTAGAAACATCTCAAGATTTCTGACCAGTGACACAGAGCTCAGCTGCCCCCGTCCAATAGGCACTTCCTCCCTTCTCCCTTGGAAGGTGTGGCTCGGTTACAGTGGTCCCCACGCTCACACGGCTGGGCTGGCCCTGCCCGTGGTCTGGCCACTGGGAGTTACTAGAGACCACGTGTCTGTGCCCCTGGTTGGAGCGCTCTGTCCTTCCCACACCCACGGCCAACGGTGGCCTCTCTGAGCCGGCAGCTTGCAGAATGTATCCTCCCCAGTTGTGTGCCCATGACAGACACCTGGGGACACGAGGGTCAGCCATAACTTTCATTTTGGAAAGCAAGGCAGGGTCTATGACAAAGGTCTGAAATTGCCGGCAGGTTATAGTTCAGACAAAACAAAAGCACCCGAAAAGCAAGATGTTCTCAAAATAGATGTGACTTTTCATCTTTCTGGATTTGTCCACTTAGCAGTTGAAGACATGGTACCTTGCCCCCTCCAGCCCTGCCTGTGGTTTAGGCAGATACTAAACCAGGCTGCACAGCCTTATTCTAGTTCTCACTGGCAGAGCATTTTCGTAGAAGGGAAAGTAAACGAAGGTGTGTTCAAAGGAGCCAGTGCTTTTTACGTAGTCCGTAACCTCTGTTTTTTAACAGTGCCCCGTGGCGGGGTCCTGCCTTCCTCAGGGACCACAGGGGTGGTAGTGGGTTGGGGGCAGGGGGGCGGGAGGGAAGGTGGCCACAGAGCGGGTGGGACTGTGCTTGGGCTTTTGCCTTGAGCCACCCTGCAGCACTGATCTATTCCACAATGTAAAGGAAGCTCCATTTGAAAATCACTGACTGCCAAAGTCCTATTTCCTGAAAAAGAATGATCTAGCGCCGCGATGAACTGGGTGCTAACCTTCTCCTTCCTGACCTCTCTGCCGTTCTAGTTGGTGGTTAGCCTCCAGTGTCCGCTCCTCTGGGCTGCTGCGTGAGGTGCATAAATTCCGTCCAGAATACGCGCAGCCGTGAAACCCACATTGTGTGCCTCCTCTGTCCTTGCTTCACGCAATAAAAACCGACTCTTGAGTGTTGGGAACTATCAGGTCCATAAGGAAAACAGTTCACCAGGTAGCCCATCCATCAGGGTCACCAAGCAGTGGCACCTGCAGTGTCTGGGCTGCAGCTGGGGACGCAGCAGTTCCTGGGGAAGAGGCTGATCTGAGGGCTGCCCATTGGGTTGCTCCCCTGTCCGGCATTCGGGAGGCGGCCGATGGGAAATTCCAGAGAAACCGTCAGCAGAATGGGCTCCGGTGAACTCAGTGCCACCGTGGGTGGCTCCCCAAGCTTCCATCTGTAGTGAGACTAGAAACAGCAGCAAAGGGTTCCCCTAAATCACTGTTGAACACTGGAAGACCTTCATGAAAAGTGCTCAGGGCAGCCAGTTTCTAGCTGCCATCAGAATCCCACTGAGTAGCCCATGGGTTGATGTTTTTATTGAGCACCTACTAAAGCAGGGGTGTCAAGCTCATTTTCACTGGGGGCCGCATCGGCCTCGCAGTCGCCTTCAAAGGGCTGAATGTAATTTCAGCTGCTTAACAGTTAAGGGGTAGTTACATTTCTACAGTCCTAAAATTATTTCAGCCCTTTGAAGGCAAACATGAGGCTGATTGGATCCCAGTGAAAATAAGTTTGACACCCCTGGACTAAAGCAAAGCTTTTTAGACTGCTGCTTACAATTCATTAGTGGGTTGGGAAACCACTTTGGAGGGTCATAAGCCACAGTTTTGTAAGAGAAAATTGAATAGAAAATATGAGGGTGCTTTTGGCAGTGGGAGGGGAGGGATATTGAATTCTCAGTGAAGTTTACCCAGCAGTAGCAGTGGTTAATACCAATCAGCCGTTGTCCAATAAGCGGATTGCGTCTGGTGGATGGTTCACTTATTAGTCTGACCGTTTATTTTAATCAGGGCTGAAGTTTCCTGGGGAATTAGAACCATGTCAATATTTTATAGACTGCCCCAGGCAAAATACTCACTTCAGCGTGTGCACTTACTTTCACTGAGGTTGTTTGCTTCTGGGATTCATTCATTCTAGACGCAGAACGCTCAGGGGGGAGGGCTTGGAGGAAGGTGGCATTCGAGAAGGTGGCAGTGAACCCGAGGGGGCACTGTGTATAGAACCTGTCCCAGAGCTCAGTCCGCCTCCCCTCTGTGACCACGGCCTTAGGAAACTGCATTCACCAGATGGAAATCCCCTCTGGGTGGTTTCTGAGTGGGTCTGGGTGATCGACCTTCTTCCACACTGACCGCAGCTGGGACAGACGAGAGGCCTGGACTTCTTTTGCTGCCTGACCCGGCAAACTTCCCTACTACATAACTCAGTTAATTCAGCCTCCATGCACCCCTTTATGAAGACTTAAGAATTTTTTTTTTTTTAAGAATAAAGACATGACCATAATAACCCTATTGTTACTTAACGTCGTAAATGGTGGTGATTTTCTGTCCTTTTGCGCATGTGACTCAACAATGGGATATAAGAGGCGGAGGTTTCAGTTACGCTAGCCCACCTGTCCACATCAGTGTGCTTCTCCTCCTAAGGTGTGATCGTAAAGTGTTTCCTTGTCTCGCAGGCAAGACCCGGAAAACTGGCCTTCTGTCTGCCAAGTCACCCGCCGAGTCCAGCTTGAAGTCTTTCGGCAGGAGTCAGCCGGGCAACTACCCGACCTTGCCTCTCCCGAAGTCGGCGGACGCCCGGACGCCGGGGCAGGAGAGCAGGCTGGGCCGCGGTCTGGCCCCTCCTCGCACTCTCGAGCACGGCGACCCGCCGTGCGTGACCGGCTCGAGCAAAAACCGGAGAAGCCTCCCCGTTTCCATCTGCCGCAGCTGCGAGACCCTGGAGGGCCCCCAGCCGGGGAAAGCCTGGCCCCGGTCCCACTCCCTGGACGACCTTCAGGGGGAGCCTGATGCTGGAACAGACGTGCCTCATGCGGCGACGGAACCCTCCCCTCAGATTGCACCGCAAGTGCCACAAAAGACAGCCCCCTCCGTCACCAAGGTCCCCAGCCCCAGACGAGATCCTGCCGTTGACAATGCATTGCTACTGACCCAAAGCAACCGGTTTTCTGACCCTCAGAAAACGACTACTAAGAAACTGGGCGGCGGCTCGAGTGCAGCCCCTTCCCGTGGCCTGTCGCCTCCCCCGTGTTTACCCAAAAACCCTGATGCTCAGCCTCCCGGGGTCAGACCCAGCTTAGCGAGGACTGCTCTTGAGGGCCACCGGAAAGGACTCGACTTTGAAGGAAGCTGTCACCCCCCGGGCACCAAAGAAGGTGAGCAGAGGGGCCCTGAGGCCAAGACGCCTGCCAGACACCCCTCGCAGCCTCCGCCTGTCCCTGCCAAGAAGAGCAGAGAGCGCCTGGCCCTGGCCAACGGCCTGCCCCCCGGCTCCCCGGGCCCCAGCGCACCGTGCCTGCCCCTGAAAAAGGGCGGCTCTGGCGGCCCCAGCGACTGCCACTCCCCCCAGGCTTCGAGACCGCCCTCCAGGCAGGAGCCCAGCAGCCCTCCAAGCTCCAGGCCGCCACCCTGGCTCTCGGAGCTGCCCGAGAGCGCCAGCCTCCAGGAGCACGGCGTGAAGCTGGCCCCGGCCCTGACCCGGAAGATCTCCTGCGCCCGGGGGGTGGATCTGGAGATGCTCACTGAAGACAAGTTGCGAGCTGAAGGCATCGATCTCACCGAGGAACCGTATTCTGACAAGGTATCAAAGGCCCTGGCCCCACTTCACACGCCTCTGCTTTCATGCTTGCGGAGCAGCCAGGGGAGAGAGGAACACCAGCTGCCCCAGGGGGTCAGCCTGGAGGCAGGGGCCACTGTGGCAGTGAGAGCTCAGGGGGTCCACAGCAGGGGCCTCTGCCACTTGGCGGTGGCACCAGTGGGAGCACAGTGTCCAGGTTAAATGCAAATACAGCTTTGGGGTTTCTTTTCCATTCTTTTCTTTCTCTTTCTTTTTTATTTTGCCTGTTTGTTTTTAATTTTTGGCAGCTGTACATTGCAGGGAGAACTACCCATCAGCACTAGGACTGGGTCCTGAAAGGCTTAGAGGAGAGGACAAACCTGAGGTCCAGTTTTCCTCTCTTATCTCAACATGCATGTTTTTAGACACTAACAGATCCACCTTTCATTGTCTTGTATGTAAAATGGAATTAACAATAACCTACATAACTACCTCTTAGAGCTATTCTTAGGAGCAAGTAAAATAAATGTGAGCATACTTTGAAAATTATAGAGCCCTATTCAGATATAATAATTATATCATTACCTTGTATGGGTAACAGGGGAAAGATTAGGTGGAAATACCACGGTACTAAAAACATTGAGCTCTATCACGAAAACTCATTTCTCATTTGAAAAAAAAAAAAGAGTAGATCTACCCATCCCACGACGACTTGGAGAACAAATGAGAATGGATAGAGCCGTGCGTGGCTCCTGGAAATGCAAGCTCTGTTACAATGCAGTCCTGGGGGGTCTTCACTGTAAAGTTGTTGTGCCCACGAATGCCTGGCAGTAGCACCCTCCTTCTCCTTCGTACCTGGAGAATAAACCCCCGTGAACGAGCAGCAGTGAGAATTCTGCTCCGCAGTCAGTGCCAGCCGCCCGTGTGGGCGGTGCGGTCCCACTAGCGGAGGCACAGCAGTAGCCTAGACAACGGGAGAGCAGGAAGTGGGCCCCTCCCCTCTGCAGTTGGGGAACAGTTTTCAAACAGACATTCGGCCAAATGATCAGGCAGAGTGAGCTGAGGGTATTCGCCCCCCAAAATGTAGAATGATTGAGTTTCCAGACGTTTTCCTAGAGCTCCTTACTACCCGAAACATAAAGATGTAAAGTATTCCCTCCAACACATCCTGACTGTAGAGACAATGGATTCATTTGCAATGAAAACTTTGGGTGCTCTTTTCCAGTAGCCAAATGTCTCATCCTAGCGTGTGTTTGCTGTTCTCGGAGAAGGAAGGGTCCTTACTGCAACACCTGACACCACCTTTCTGTCCCGCCCCCCCAGCACGGCCGCTGCGGGATCCCCGAAGCCCTGGTGCAGAGATACGCCGAGGACCTGGAGCAGCCCGAGAGGGACGTCGCCGCCCACATGGACCAGGTCCGGGTGAAGCTGCTCCGCAAGCAGCACCGCATGGCGGTGAGCAGCCCCTCCCCGCTGTCGGAGTCTGTGTAGTCGTAGGGCTTCACCCCGGGCAGACGGGCCACCGCTGTGCAGCCCGGGGCTCATGAGCGTCAAAGCAGACGCCTGGTGGGGAGGCCGTACACATTCAGCCCCCAGAGTTTTACAGCACCATTTTAGAGAGAGAAAAAATGAAAATTATCCGCACTCCCAGCGCTGTGGAGAAGTTAAGCCCGCCCGGTCATTGGGCTGTACATACACAGCAGTAAACGCGTGGCTTTGAAACCTGAGTGTTTCCAGTGGTCGGAGCACTGGAAATCTGGTTCTCTCACCGCATGCACTTCTGTTACAGTGTCAGGATTTCAGGGTGTGACAGTGTCAGGATTTCAGGGTGCTCCGGCAGGCGGGTGTGTCCTAGTTTAGCCAGTCCATATTGGTGGAACATGGAGATTTTTCCCAATTTTTACATTTTCAGTCACGCAGTGAAAAACATTCTTAGTAAGTCTTCGTAGGCGTCTGGGGTTCATTTCCGAGGGTATGTTACTTTAAGAGGGCGTGCTTCGTCAAGGCTGCACAGAGTCCCAGGGGTTCGCACGTGGGGTGGTCAGCCACCTTGTGAAAGGCACGGCATTTGGTCTTCCCGGGCGTCCGGTGTGAGTGTTTACTTCCCTGCCCCAGCCAATATTATTTTCAGTTCTTCGTGACTATATTGGTAAAATGTTTAATCTGCTAGTTGTTGATGTGGATTCAAAGTACAACGGAAAGTCTGCTTTATAAACGCTCCATCACTGAGTGTTTTCCCTTCCACACGGTCGCCCGGGACTGCTTCTTCACTCAGTCACCTTAGGTGTGCGGCGACCGACTGACTGTACGAGACGCCTCCTTGAAGAGCGTGTCAGCGTGAGACTAAATAGCGGGAAATGCAGACAGATGCTCACAGTTTGGGGAGTTGCACACCTACCTGGGATTATATTTTATTCCGAGTACCTTCCAGAGCCTCACACACGTCCTTGAGAATTTGTCTCACCTTTGAACGGTCAAGGAAGGACTCTTTCTGCTGCCCTTGGCCTTTGACCTGTCACGGCATCATCGCTTCCCGATAGCGTGGCGGTGAATGTGTCCCTCATGGCCCTCTCTTGGCATCTGAGAAGCGGCCGCCCGGTGGCACGTGGGGGGGCCGCCTCAGACCGTTTTCTCTCTCTTATCCAGATCCCGAGCGGCGGGCTCACGGAGATCTGCAGGAAGCCCCTCTCCCCCGGCTGCGTCTCGTCCGTGTCCGACTGGCTGGTCTCCATCGGCCTGCCCATGTACGCCGGCGCCCTCACGGAAGCGGGGTTCAGCACCCTGGGCCAGGTGCCTTCTCTGTCCCACACTTGCCTTCAGGAGGCCGGCATCACAGAGGAGAGACACATAAGCAAGCTCGTGTCTGCCGCCAGACTCTTCAAGCTGCCGCCGGGCCCCGAGGCCCTGTAGCCGGGCCCGGAACGGACCTCCGTGGATGAGAGCCACCCTTTCACTGTGCTGGCGATGCCGACGCAGTCCTTCCTTCCCCGGGCAAGCGGACCAGATCCAGAGGAGCGGCCCAGGGTGCCGCTGAACAGCGCGGAGCCTTGGCATAGGACCGAGGGACCCTCTCTTTCCCAGAAAAGCCCCTTTGCGGAAATTGGTGTGGTTCTCTTCAAACCCCCCCCCCCCCCAAAGAAAAGACAAGCACTTATTTTTGTTTCCAGAACAGAATAGAACCAAGATGCCAACTTGCCACAAATGCTGTGCCTCTGGTCTGTCTTGGTGCACTGGGGAGAGGGCTGGGGGGGCGGGGGGAGGGGCAGCCTGTTCCGTTTCTGATGATAGTGCCCTTGACCTTCTGCCTGTCACCCTGCAGGATACCCGAGGGCCAGGCAGGCTTAGCTAGGCCAAAGTAACAGACTCGGGAGTGATTGTAAACACGGTTGACGTGCTCATTGGTTCAAAAGTAAGAAAATCTGTCTGCACTAGGGGGGAAAAAATGGTCCTATTCTCCTTTAGATAAACAAGAGACGTTTTAATAATTGCTTTCTAGCAATCAGCTTTTATTTGCCTTAATATGAGCTTTTACGCAGTTGTCTAACTAGTGTTCACTACCCTGTAACCATAGTTCCAGATCTTCAGCTTCGACTGCCGTCTAACACGTCTGGGTGTTCCCAGCAAAGAAAACAGGCTCTTCTGGTGATCTCATGCTGACACGGCTCACTTTATAGGAGTGTTTATCGGGCGCGGAGTTCACGCTGGTGTCCACCTGTTAAACCAACTCCAAAATCCAGTGAAAAACTATCCGAAATTCACCAGGCTATCATGTGTGTACATGTGAGTGTTTGGGGGGAAGCTGTGGGTGTCTATAGTAACTGCCTTTCATTTGAACGCGTTCTGTGTCCTTATCCTGCGGGTCGCCCTGGCGCAGCGCTGACTTGGCCTCCTGACCCTGACGGCCCCGCCCCCGAGTCCCACCCTCGGTCCCGCCCACAGATCGCCTTCGAGGAGCCGTTGCGTAAGGCTGCGTTGTTCAGAAAGACCTTTTCAAAAAGGGAATTAGTTTAAGAGAGGTTTTTAAGGTTTTCCTACAGTTTTACAATTAGGATATTGTTTTTCTCCTTTTCTTATTTAGGTAGTTCTTTTAATTCAAATAAAGGTTCCTTTTGGAGCCAGACAAACCCCCTTAGCTATGTATTAAGTGTTTGCATATTTTCCATGGTTTCCCACTGATTTCAGCATATTCTGTCCTCTCTTAGTCTCGTGTCTGACTTTCTAGCAACATGACATTTAGACAACTAAACTGGCAAGGTTTCCATTGCTTACAAAATGATTTGGCTTTATGTTCGTATTGTGAGCACTATTCCAAGCCCCGAATGTGATTCTTTACAATAGAAACACTTTGAACACAAAGCCTTGATCAAAAGTTCTTTAGTATTTTATCTACTCACTAAAACAATTGATTTCCCTCAGGGAAAAAAAACAACAACGTGGTTTCATTAATTACAAAGCCATCTTTAGCATTTGCTTTATATACTTATATCCATGTTTCTGAGGAAAAGGATGCTCTCAGGTGATACATTTTTTTCATGCCTTGGTATGCATTTTAAAAAAATAATATATATTTCTTCAATAATAGTTTCTGTAAGATGCCATGTGAAGAAGTTGTGGAAATCTAGAATAAAAAGCTAAAGCTGCCAAACTTCTGTGGCACCCTTCGAAAGAGCCCATTTGCATCACCTCGGGCTGTGACATCCCTGTTAGCAGGGCCCCCGCTGAAGGGGTTCCTCGGCTGTGTTCGCCGTGAGCTCAGTGCGACACGGGAGAGGCCCACCTCCTGGTTTACGCTGAGCAAACACCGCACAAAAGTCCCGATCGGTGACGAAGGGGAAGGAGGACTCCTGCGTGACTTTTCCAAGTTTTAATTCACTCTCACTGTAACGCTTTCATTGGGGTAAAAATGGCACCGGAAAAGGGGATTTTCTGAGCTCGAACTTTTGAGAACGCCAAACCGTATTTTTGTCAACTCTTCTTCGGAGATCATTGCCTTTGCAGAGAAAATTCCAGTTCAGGGACCACGAATGATTGTCGGTGGAGAGGTCTTCCTAGTCTGAAAGGTCTGAGGTTGTTTTTTTTACTTTATTGTGCTTTTGTAAATCCTTCTTTTAAAAAAAAAATTAGTATTTGTTTGGTCTTCTTTTGCTTTGAACTTTTCCTCTGATCCTAGAGAAGCCTCAGCGTTTGTGTGTGACTTTTGACTGAGGTGGTTTGGGGCCACCTGGGGGCGGAGGAGACGGGTGGCGGGTGTCGGCCGCATCCAGGTTGACTCAGGTGCACGGGGTTCGGAATGTGGAGGAGCGGAGAAACTTGTCTCTGGGAAGCACAAAAGAAACCTGGACTGGCAGCCAGGCTCAGGTAGCTACACACACCCGTCGCGGGAATTCTTCCTTCAAAGCTGTCTAGAACGAAATGCAGCCAGCCCCAACCACTAGTTACATTCCCAAATAACCAAGTAGGAGATAGATTTTTTTTTAAGGCCTGCCTTTGTCAGAGGCCCTTTTCTCTGTCCTGAACCTGGGGGTGGGCAGCATTGGAAGTGACTGGTGTACTGGTAATCAGTTCCTGACATAGCAAAGTTTGCTTTCATAACTGCAGCGAAAGAAATCCATTCGCCAAGTCAGTGCTGCGTGTGTGTGCTGTATGATTTTCAGAAAAATAAGTCTCGTCCTCTGAGTCCAAGTTATCTTGATTTTAAATTGATAGAGGAAACAAACTGTCAAGCAAGTTATATAACAACTAACAACATTGCACTTTCTGTATATGAAATCAGTATTTAAATAACTTATTTTTCTCCATTGCTGTTTTTAAACATTGTAAGTAGCTGTAATATACCAGTACCAATATGTTCTTGCGATTGCTTCAGCCCAAGAAAGCTATGTATTGTTTTAAAAATTGTAAAAATTATTGTGATGATTCATTTAGCAAAGAGAAAGGACAGAAGGGTTTTCCTATGTATCAAAACTTGTCTATAATTGTCATCTATGTACCTAGAAAAAAAAGTAAATAAATTTCTTCAGCTGAATATGCCTCTTTTGTTGTTCCTGGGATATTTCAAATATGAACGGGAGAGTGTGGATTTTTTTTTTAAGATTTTATTTATTTTTAGAGAGGGAAGGGAGGGAGGAAGAGAGAGAAAAACATCAATGTGCGGTTGCTGGGGGTCATGGCCTGCAACCCAGGCATGTACCCTGACTGGGAATTGAACCTTCGACACTTTGGTTCCCAGCCCACGCTCAATCCACTGAGCTATGCCAGCCAGGGCGAGAGTGTGGTTTAATAAAATATATTATAAAAGTAGTAGTAGCTGTCTGTATATAAGTGCTTTTGCCACAGTGCCAATTCTCTTTATCAACTTACTGCAACTTTTTGTCTTCTGTTGCAAAATCAAGTCATATGATCACAGTTTCCTAAACCAGGAAGGGATTGGTGGAAATCACTGATTGTATAAGCCCATCATTTTCAGAAGCGTTTTGAAGCCACATAGGTGGTTGACTTGCTCAATGTTGCACAGTTAACAAAACCCACATTTTGTATTGACAGAGAAAAGAAATCAAACTCGGGATATCCTAGAAATTCATCAACTTGACAAAAGTCCTTTTCAACATTGGTGTACCATATTTGACAGAAATGTGTTTTGTGTTGGGTGGGAGTGTGTTTGTAATAGGAAATTTTGAGTAGATCTCATGCACTTGAGACTTGAGACCAAACAACGGAAAATCACCCTCCACTGGCCCAGCCTGGTCGCTCACTTGTTTCACTGCAGGTAGGAGTTAACAACCAGTGTTTGCCGATCGTTCAGAAGTGCTCTGTGTACTTGCAAATTCCACTGCATGTGCGTTTTTCTGTTCAGGAACGATAGCATGTTCTTCACACGCCCCCTGCTGTTAAATTCAGTGTATCTCGGAGGTCTGGACATGTGAGACCCCGCGCCCCTGCCATTCTCTTACTGGCTGCGTAGTACTCGGTTACGCGCGTAGTTTGTTTAACCAGTACTCTCTGGAAGGACAAGAATTTGCTGTTCTAAAACAGCTGGTGTGGCCCTGACTGACGTGCCTCAGTTGGTGGGAACATCTTTTCATAGCTGAAAGGTTGCAAGTTTGCTTTTCATAGCTGAAAAGATCCCCTAGTCAGGGCACATGCCAGGGGTTGCAGACTTAATCCCTGATCTGGGTGTGTACAACCCCTGGTCCAGGCGCAGATGAGACGCAACCAATTGATGCTTCTCTCTCACATCAATGTTTCTCCCCGCTTCCTCTCTCTCAAAGCCATGAAAATAGGTCCTCGGGTTAGGGTAAAAGTTTTAGAAAGCTGTGAGGAATATCCTTATATTTAGCATGTGGAATTGCTGTGTTAAAAGTATGTATTCTAATTTTTTTTAAAAGATTTTATTTATTTTTAGGGAGGGAAGAGTGGGGGAGAGAGAGAGAGAGAAAGAAAGAGAAAGAAACATCAATGTGCGGTTGCTGGGGGTTATGGCCTGCAACCCAGGAATGTACCCTAGCGGGAATCGAACCTGGGACACTTTGGTTCCCAGCCCGCGCTCAATCCACTGAGCTACGCCAGCCAGGGCTGTATTCTAAATTTTGATAGAATAAATGCACTGGTGGGTTTTATTAAAGGAAGCTTTACCATTTAAATCTTTTATTTATGAATCATTGTCTTAATCCCCACTCCCTCGATCCATTTTGTAAATGGAAATATTTCATGTACACCTAGAGCTGGCGTTCATCTGAAGTGCTACATTATTTTAAAGAACTAACCATACACATCTGATTTATTTCAAGATGACCTCTAATATTCCATAGCTCAACTCAAAGAAATTTTTGTTATGATTTCTAAGAAGCTTTGACTAGATTCCTATTTATTCTGACCTCACCTCATATATAGAAACTTAGGGTGAACTCACTTAGAAGTTACAAAGGACATAAATTTGATTAGTGGCAAGGGTAAAGAGAAGGGTGGGACTCATGCTTTCACGGCTCGTTTGGAAGCTTTGGAGTAATGACTCTCTTTCCTGTTGGCCATGAAGACCCGCTCGGAGCCAACACAGGGCTTCCCTGGAGAGAGAGACGGAGGGGGGGGGGGGGGGGATGCTTACTGTGGTGCAGGTCTGGACGCCTCATCAGGGGACCGTGGCAGCATTACTGGGAAGCATTCCAGTTCTTCATAGCCCATCCGTCCAACACGGACCAAGAAGCGGACTCGGGAAAGGGGACTTGGCTGTCCCCTCTGGGACACTTGAATAAAAACCCCTGAGAAGTCCTGTCTGTCAAACCATGTTTGGAAGGACGATGCCGGATATGTGTGTAGGAGCCACCACAGTTAACAGCCGTCTGACCAGAATTTGCCATCATCCTGTGGTTCACAACTGTGGTCAGAGCCACACGAGAGATGTGACAGAGGGCTGTGGGGACCCCAGCTTTCTTGTCGGTCTCCACACGTAGGGGTCAGGCTCTCAATCAGGCGTCCATGTGGGTTTCCCTCTACCTGGGCGCTCTGGCCTGGAAAATCTGCAGGACTAACTCCCTCCTGTCCCTCCTGCTCAGAGGTGGTGTCTCAGAGCCCTGTCCCGTCTCTGTCGCCTGAAATTGCCCCCTCCCGTGGCCTTCCCTTGGCCACCACACCCCATTCCCACACCTCTATTTTCCCCATGGCACTGGTCACTTTCTAAAACACTATATACTTCATTTCTTTGTTATGCCTATTGCTTATTAACTGCCTCCTGCTGCACTGAAAGTCCAGGAGTGCACAGGTTTGCTCACTGATGAGCCTGAACCTCTACACCTGACACCTAGTACCTGCTGAGTGAGTGACTGTCCCTGAATCACAAACCCTGGAATCTTGCATGTTAAAGCTGGAGATGATCCGTTGTAATCCTCTCAGTTTACAGGTGGGAAACAGAGACCTGGAGAGGTCACAGGAGCTGCTGAGGTCATACTTAGATGGCTAGTGACAGAGTAGGTGATAAAGAAGCAGACCCTCTCTGCCAAGGCTTTGCTGGAGCTTGTCAGCATCCTGACTTAAGAAGAAATCAGAGCAAGCCAGAATTTCCCAGAGCTGTTTCCAGCAAACACGTTCTTGCTGAGGGAGTAGTTGCTACAGCGTACGACCACCAGAGGGCACTGATGTGCCAGATGGAAGGCCGAACCGGGCGCCTGCAGGGCGGGAGGTGAGAGGAGCAATTTCCGAGGTAGGCAAGTACCCAGCCGCACAGCCAGCGAGAGCAGAGGCCGCCCCGAGGAAACAAGGCGGCGGGAGGGAGAACAGGACCGCCACGACTCCCCCAGTTATCAGCAAGACCTAGAGCCCTGCAAGCAAAGCACCTATTAAAACATCATTGGAGAGTGTTGACTAGTGACCAGTAAAACTTACAAACTCCGCTTTTATGAACCTTGTGGAGGTTCCTTTAGCTACCAGAGCCGGGTGACTCACCTCCTGTTGCCCAGAGTGGGGTTGGGGTCTTGAGTGCACAGGTGCCCTCCTCCCGCCTGCCGGAGGAGTGGTCGGCGGGCGGGGAAGGAAGCGTTTAGGAGACCCTAAAACCGAGTCCTAAACTTTAGGTGTCGTGCAGTAAGATGGGAGACCGGGCTCATTTTGTGTTTGCTTGCTTATGGGAATGGCATTTTACATCTATGGCCCAGAACAGCCTGACGGTGTAAGACAGAGGACGCCATTCGGCCTGATGCTCACGGAGCCTTTACACTGTGACTGTGCAGCGGACGCCGTGCACCCCATTTTACAGCAGAGGGACCTGCAGCCGCAGAGGTGAAGGCAGAAGGGATGAGAGTTGACCTTGGTTTTTTATTTTATTTTTATTATTATTTAAGTCTCACTGGAGTATCTGCTTATTGATTTTTAGGGAGAGAGGAAGGGACAGAGAGAAAGAGAGAGAGAAACATTGAGGTAAAATTAAACATCGATCAGTTGCCTCCTACACATGCCCCAACTGGGGATTGAACCTGAAACCTTTTGATGTACAGGACAATGCTCCAACCAACTGAGCCAGGGTAACCTGGGTTATTTTATTCTGAAGCCCTTTGGCTTAGCCACTACTGAATAATTCCCTGGTTCTCAGCCTGAGCCACATGTTAAAAGTCAAGTGTATCAGTCTGGGTCCCACCAGGAAAGCGGAAGCAGAAGCAGACATGCACTGAGAGGTTTGTTGCACAGATTTGGCTTCCCTGGGCACAGGGCTGGCCGGGCAGGGGGGAAGGCCATGCATGGGGCACATTGCCAGGAACCGCAGGCTGGAGGCCTCGGCCCAGGCTGCAGCCCTGCCCACGGGCAGGATGTCTTCTCTCTTGGGGACACCTCAGCTCTGCTCAAAAGGCCTTTTCAAAAGTTGAATCGGGCCCACCCAGGTTTAGTCCCCTTTACTTAAAGTCAACTGATTATGGACTTGAATCTCAACTACAAAAGGCCTAAGTAGTGCTTGATGAAATAACTGAGGGTTGTAGCTGTCCTGATTCAGGCCACAATAACAGAATCCTGAAAACCGAGTGGCTTATCAACAGCAGAGATTGATTTCTCGTCCTTCTGGAGGCTGGAAGTCCGAGGTCAGAGGGTCAAGGTTGGCAGGTTCTGGGAGCGCCCTCTTCCAGCTTCCAGGCTGCGGCTTCTTGCTGTGTCCTCACGGGGTGGGAAGAGAGAGATGCAGCCAGCTCTGTGGTGTCTTCTAAGGGCACCAGTCCCATTCATGAAGCCCCCACACTCTGACTCACCTAATCCTGATCCCCTCCCAAAGGCTCTCCATCCCGACACCATCCCACCCGGGTTGAGTCTCAACACACGACCTCCGGGGAACACGAATATTGAGGTCGTGACAATAGCCTAGCCAAGTGGACGCATTAAAAACGCCATTATACCTCAAAAGCTTTGGAAAAGGAGGCCTCTTGGCCCCTGCCCCAGACCAACTGAATCTGAAACTCATGGGGTGGAACCTGGACACACACTGCTTCTCTTGCCATATCTCTCCCCAGGATATCCTGCTGCGTGGTGAAGGTTACGAACTTGGAGTGTCAT